CTGCAGAGAATTCTGCTATTTGTGTCCTGAGGCCCGGTTGGCAAGCATATTCCTGTCACAAAACAAAAGCAATGGTTAGTATTTCTGAAATAACTGATAACATTGACAACACTCAGTCTCTTTTCTTCTCAATGCTTTTTTCCAATAATGCATGTCAGCATATTAAACGAAAGTTAAAAATAGAAAGTCCAGAGTTTTTGGCAAGCTAAAACACACTCATCCCATGCATTTCATGGTACAAAGTTTTTTGTTCAGTAAATCCAGATAGCATGATGGAGGCTTGTAAAGCAAGCTACCACAACAAATATACAAAGAGATGTTACCATATTTTCCAAGTGCTCATCGGCTATGGAACGTGCAAGGCTTTGGTTGAAGCCGTTATCAAGGGATGGGAGATCATCCTGTAATGTAATATTAGGTTTAGTTAAAAAGAACAGTGAATTGAAGTATAAAGAAGTTTCGGGCAGTGGAGCTAGCAGGATAGTGGTGCTGGCATGACTTGGCACTTCAGGCACCGTCTTTTTTTCAGTTATCGTTTCAGCAGTTTGTTTGATCAGTCCATTCTGAACTGCATTAAGTGTTGACATCATTATGTTCTTTATGTACAGGAAGACCACGTCTAAGGTGAATACGTCGTGTCTAATGTGCATAAGCTTAATAATAATTCTAGGACATCAGATTTTGTGAGGAAGTTTTCACGTAAGATTGGATGACCCTATACCCAAGGTTCTGTGTTATGACAGTGCATTTAACTCACTCTGGCTGACCGTGCAGCATGTCGACGAAGTCCTGCCTGCGACAGCTCTCTTAATCGAGAATTTTTCATTTCCCCGCAGGGGTGTCTGCATAAGTAGGCGTTTGGTGCGTAGCGACATCACGGACCCGAGCTAATGGGAGAGTTTCGACTCCCTCCCACGCCTAGCCGTGCGTGGCTTTGCCGTGTCCGGGGAAAAGGGAATCCTGGGGGTTGAGCCGACGCCGGATGATTGGACCTTTAAGGCCCCCCGGCAGAGGCAACACACCCTTTTGGCCCCGGCTTCACGTAGACGGCACCCCTGGGCTGACCCACCCAGGGGAAATCGGCAGAGCCTTTTCCTATCCCTCTCCCCTACAACTTCGTCTTTATCTCTCTCTTTTAGTCTGTCCTGTCTACTTCTCTCTTCTGTTTACCTCCAATTTTCCTGGTGGCAAGGGTTAACCTTGTGAAGTTACTCAACCTTGAGTAGTTATATTTGGTTATAGTGGCAATGTACGGCTGGCGTCTGCGGCCTTATGCTATTAAGTGCTTCAGCGTCCCCTGGTTGTACTCCATGGTGGGTGGTCGCCATTGCGGCTGAAAAAAAAAGTACACTACTATGGGAACGCCTGCATTTCCCCGTCTCCTAGATCGTCTTCCGCTTAAGAGGGGACGCACCGATGAATTATCAGTTTTCAGTCAACCCAGACAGTGCTTTCCGAAATTCCATGTTGTGCACAGCGACAATTCAACAAAACAAGCCAGAGCCATCTGTCCATTTCTTGTTGCCAAATATCTTGACTGAGGTCTTTGGCCCAGAATACAAGGTTACAAAGATGCCTCGCGGAGACCTTCTCCTTGAGCTGCCTGAAAAACACGACTATGAAAAACTTGGCAGTCTCCTAGCATTTGGTAATATCCAGTATCATGTTTCACCTCATAGATCAATAAACACCTCACGCGGAGTTGTTTCAGAAGCAGACCTTCTTGAAATGTCTGAACAGGAACTGCTTGAAGGGTGGAAAGAGCAAAATGTCACGGATGTGAAACGAATCGTCATCAGACGCGACAACAAAGAAATACCTACCAAACATTTATTACTCACTTTCGCATCTAGCATGTTTCCTTCAGTCTATAGACACAGGCTACATCAAACTCTCTGTCCGTCCCTACATTCCCAATCCTAAGACGGTGTTATAAATGTCAACGATTTGGTCATGGCTCGCAAAACTGCCGGGGTCAGGAAACTTGTGCAAGATGTGGTAGCCACGGCCACCCATCTTAAAACTGTGGTACTAAGCCTCTCTGCGTGAAATGTGACGGGGAACACGCCGCGTATTCGCGTTCGTGTCCTAACTGGAAGAAAGAAAAAGAAATAATCACTCTTAAAGTCAAGGAAAATATCTCATTCAAGAAAGCCCGGAAGAGGGTCTCTCCTTTCTACAACACATCTTATGCTGATGCGGCGCGTCGGGGGGCAGCGTCGCACCCGCCCTCACCACACCTTCGGCCCAGGCATACCTAGCCGGCGGCTGTGCCACCTGCCCCAAGGCGGTTGTAGTTCAGGCTGCACCGCGTACTTCCAAACAGAGACCGGAGACTACAGAGTCCTCAGGTCTCAAGGCCTCACCTCACCAGGCGAGGCCTAAAATCCGAACCCCCAGCTCGCATGTGCGGGCACCCAGTGCCTCTGAGGAGGCAATGCATACAACGATACCCTTGGTACCAAAAGTGTGCCGCGGCTCCTTGGAGCGCGTCAAGAAAAAAAAACAATAACGGGGCCGGACGACCGTCCTACCACCTGAATTAACGAGCTCACTGCAACACTGGATACTCTTTGTACACACAGCAGCATCTATCTTGTCTAAATATGCAGACAGAAATATTACAGTGGAACTTCTGAGGCCTTCTTCGAAACCTCGATGACTTACAAGAACTCCTTCATGAACACAATCCTAGAGTGCTGTGTGTACAAGGGACACTTTTAAAACGAACAAACACAAACTTCTTATGTAATACGTAATCTTCCGAGAAGAAAAAGATGATTCCATGCCACCATCCGGTGGTGTAGCGGTTATAGTTAGTCAAGGTATAGCATGTACACAATTACCCCTTCTAACATTCCTCGAGGCGGTGGCTGTCCGAGCAGTTATTCTAAACAAACTCGTCGCTGTCTGCTCTTTCTACATACCTCCGCACCAACGTTTTGAAAAAACTTCAATTCCAGTTTTTAATAGACGAACTACCTGAACCTTATCTGGTCGTTGGGGACCTAAACGCACATAATGGTCTGTGGGGTGACTCTCGCTGTGATGCACGAGGTCGTCTCATTGAACAATTCCTTATTTCATCAGGTGCTTGTCTGTTGAATAGGAAAGAGGCAACATACTGCAACCTTTTCCACAAAACTTATTCTTCCATAGACCTCAGTATCGCATCTCCTTCACTTGTACCAAACCTCAGTGGAAAGTCATAAATATTCCACACGGAAGTGACCACTTTCCTTTAGTTTTGAGTACACCAATAATATATGAATGTCCTCCACATGTTTCCAAATGGCTGGTAAACAAAGCCGACTGGGAACAACGTCAAAAGATTACTCACTTAAGGTGGACTCACATATGCGGATTAGGCATAGATGAAGCTGTGCAGTACTTCACGGCTTTTCTTACTGACGCAGCAGCCAAGTGCATTCCACAAACATCGGGACTGCCCTGCAAACAACACGTCCCGTGGTGGAACACTGAGTGTCAGAATGCGCGAAAGGAACAGAAGAGGGCATGGAGGTTGCTGCGGAACCCGCTGACAGCGGAAAACCTTGAGAGCTTTAAGAAAATAAAATCTCGAGGCAGGAGAACGCGTCGGCATGCCAGAACAGAAAACTGGCACAAGTTGTTATCAGGGATAAATTCATATACACAAGAGGCTAAAGTCTGGAACATGGTTTGTAGGGTAGAACGAAGAAAAGTTCACTCACTCCCACTCGTAAACACACAGGGTGACAGTTTGAAAGATCAGGTGAACTTCCTCGGTGCATGCTACAGCAAGTGTCTAGCTCGTCACACTATACTGAAGCTTTCCAAAGATATAAAGCAAAGATAGAAAAGCAGAAACTAGAATACAAGTGCACAACTCACGAGGCATACAACCAACCTTTCAACCTAGCTGAGCTACGAACATCACTAAACTCTTGCAGTAATTCTGCCCCAGGTTCTGACCGTGTGGTGTATGAAATGTTAAAAAACCTACCAATTGAAACACGAAAAACGTTACTGTGTTTGTACAATGCTATCTGGTTTTCTGGCACTATCCCGACCTCCTGGAAAGAGGCCATTATTATTCCCATTTTGAAAGAAGCAAAGACCCTTCTTTAGCTTCGAGTTATAGGCCTATTGCACTTACAAGCTGCTTGTACAAGGTCTTAGAAAAAATGATAAACTCCCAACTTTACATTTCCTTGAAACAAACAGTTTGCTCTACCCATTTCAGTGCCGGTTTCGTGATAGTAGATCCACCACAGACCACCTAGTTCTTATCGAGGCACAGACCAGACACGCCTTCGTCCATAAACAATATTTTCTCTCTGTGTTCCTTGATATTCAAAAGGCTTATGATACAACATGGCGTTTTGGAATTCTAAGAGACCTGTCCCACCTTGGCGTGCGCGGAAGAACGTTTCACATAATCGAAAGTTACCTGTCAAACCGGACATTTTGTAACCGAGTGCGCACGGTTCTTTCCCAAACATTTGTCCAGGAAACAGGCGTGCCACAAGGTGGTGTACTTAGCTGCACACTTTTTCTCATCAAAATGAATTCCTTGCGCTTGTCCGTCCCTCGCAATACGTTTTATTGTGCATATGTCGATGATGTCCAGCTTGGCTTTAGATCTTGCAATCTGGCAATGTGTGAGTGGCAGGTTCAGTTAGGTTTAAACAAGGTCTCCTAATGGGTGGAGGAAAACGGATTCCGATTGAACCCACAAAAAGGCACGTGTGTCTTGTTCTTCCGAAAGAGAGGCATGCACTCAGAACCCCACATTGAACTGACCGGTCAACGTTTGTCTGTTAATGCGGAGCATAAATTCTTAGGCTTAATCTTGGACAACAAGTTGACCTTTGTTAAGTCGCGAGTGAACGGCTCAGTAACCAAGCAAGAACAAGGAACGTTTATTTTGCGTGTCTCTCTTTTATGTGCTCGGTGATGGCGATGAGGTCATGACACGATTGGCGACACGCTTGCATGACGTAGCACATCTTCCCCTTTTACCAGTTGAACCTTTGAGGTGGTCGCCGTAGCCTGTTGGACCGGCGAAGCGGCGGCGGTGCCTCAGGTTGGCTAGAGGGTGGCGACCCCGCCGGCGTGGGGTCAGTCATGCCGGCTGGCATCGGCGAGGTTTCGTTAGCGGTGGTGGTGGATGTTGTAGCGCCCCCTGGCTGCGTCGTGTTCGAGTCCTTCGGAGTGCGCAGCCGTAGTTGGTTCGCATGACGACGTTGCTCGCCGTCCGGCTTAGACACAGTCGCCATCCGAGCCCCTTGGGTACTTGTGACCACTCCCGACAACCATTTTGGCCGGCTGTGGAAACTTCTCAGCCACACCGGCTGTCCTGCACAGAATGGCATGGTGGAGGAGCGCTCTTCCAGACGTGGTTCCCCGCCTGCACTCGGGAGGCAACAGTATAGCCTGGTCCGTAGCATATAACCCAGCAGTAGTTCGGACGGAGACTTCCCAGCCTTTACCGGTGTCCGTCGGTATCGGCATAAAAACTGATTGAGACGTTTAATGAATGTGCCACCCCCTTGGCTTTTTCGAAGGCCTTCCTTGATCGTGCGAACCGCGCGTTCCACCAGGCCATTTGACGGCGGGTGGTAAGGCGCCGTCGTCACGTGGTTGATCCCGTTCATTCTTACGAACTTCTGAAACTCGGCTGAGACGAACTATGGCCCATTATCTGAAACAAGTGTATGTGGCAGTCCGAACCTGGAAAATATGGGCCTCAACGCTTCCACGGTGGCTTCTGATGCCGTACTCCGCCTCGATATGGCCTCCAGCCACTTTGTTTCAGCATCTACGACCACCAGTAGCATGTGTCCTTCGACTGGGCCTGCGTAGTCGATGTGCACTCGAGACCATTTCCGGCCCGTTTCTGGCCATGGCGTCGGAACCTGCGCAGGAGGCATTGCACTGGTTTGAGCACACCTCTCACATTCGCGTACCATTCTTTCGATGTCGGCATCCAGCCCTGGATACCAAAAAAAGGTTCGAGCAAGGTTTTTCATTGCCGCCATCCCTGGATGTGTTTCATGTAGGAGCCTCAAAAGACTCCCAGCAGCCGCTGATGCCACTACTATTCTTTGTCCCCAATAAATGAGGTCCTGATTCACCGTCACCTCATCCTTTTTCTGGAAGAACGGCCGGAATCGCTCCTCGGACTCTTTCAGGTACTGTGGCCAGCCCTGCAGGATCCACTTTCGCACCTGCTGTAACATAGCATCACGGATGGTTAGAACCGCCAACTCTTTGGCACTGATGGGTGCCGCGTTCACAGCTTCAGCGTATAATACATACTCGGGAGCGTCGTCTTCTACGTTATCGGGCTGCCCCCGATGAATAGGGAGTCGGCTGAAGGCATCTGCGTTTACGTTTTCAGATCCTTTACGATAAGTTAGGCTGTGCCGATATCCACCCAACAGCAGGGCCCAACGCCGAATGCGGGCAGCGGCCATCGGCGGAATTCCCTTGTCTGGACTAAACAGTCCGGTTAACGGTTTGTGGTCGGTTACTAGTTCGAAGTGGGTCCCATACAGATAGTCTCTGAACCTGGTCACGCCAAATACGAGGGCAAGAGCCTTCTTTTGCAACTGGGAATAATTTTTCTCGGCTTTTGTTAATGTTCGTGACCTGAATCCGATAGGGTAGTCAATTCCTCCGACTCGATGCGACAACACTGCTCCCAGGCCTACTGCTGGCGCGTCGCACTGTAGGCGAATGGGCTTGCTTGGGTCAAAATGCACCAAAAGTTTTGCATTCTTCACTGCTTGTTTAGCTGCCTCGAAAGCGTTCTGATGTTGTCTGCCCCAGACCCATTTTACGCCCTTTGCCAACAATGCGTGTAAGGGCGCTAGTAAGGTCGACACATTGGACAAAAACTTGCCGTAGTAATTTAACAGACCTAAAAAAGCTTTCAGTTCTTTTACCGAAGTAGGCTGGGGGGCATCGAGCAGTGCCGTGATGTTGTCGCTTTTGGGGTGTAGGCCGTGTCTGTCGATGCAGTGTCCGAGAAAGGTGACTTGCTCTTGCCTGAACTTGCATTTCTCCCGTCCGTCGTAGGCGCAGGCCGTGTTCCCTCAGGCACTGTAGCACTTGCTCCAGGATCCTGCAGTCGTTTGCCTTTTCCGATACAATTATGTCGTCCAGATATACCTGCACGCCAGGAATCCCGCTGATCACGGCTTCCATGCGCCGCTGGAAGATTGCTGGCGCTGACGACACTCCAAACGGCAGCCTGTTGAAAGAGTAGAGACCCTTGTGCATGTTAAAAACGACTAGCCTCTTCGAGTCCTCGTCAAGGGGCAGCTGATTATAGGCGTTTCTCAAGTCCAATGTGCTGAAAGCTTCTCCGCCGTTGAGGTTCGCAAAGATATCGTCAACCCGCGGCAGCGGATATTGCTCCATTATGGTAGCTGCGTTCACCGTAAGCCGGAAGTTGCCGCATAATCGCACCTGTCCATCCTTCTTGACTACGGGCACCACGGGTGTGGCCCATTCAGCCGATGTTACCGGTGATAACACACCTTCGTTTACCAGCCGATATAACTCTGCTGATACCATTTGTTTGAGCGCATACGGCACCGTCCGCGCCTTACAATACCGAGGTCTTGCGCCTTCTTTGACGGTCAGGTGTACCGGTGGCCCTCGGAGCAAACCCAACCCCGGAGCAAAGACATCACTGTACTTTGATAGCATGGTTTCCACCATTCTGTCCGCATTTTCCGCCTGCACATACGCCACCTCGTTTCCAGTGAGTACCGGCACGCCTGCCGTATTGAAGCTGCGTATAGTGTCACGGCCGCAAAGCATCGGTCCTGGACAGTCGATGACGAAAAGTCCGGCCTGGGTGGTCGTGCCACTCATGGTCGCATTGAGTTGCAATTTTCCGTTGATAGTAAGTGGTCCCTTGAAACACGAGAGCTTCATTGTTGTGGCTTGCGATTGTGGCCATTTGCCTCGGTGTCGCTCGAACACTGACTGCGGAATAACACTCACAGGTGAACCCGTGTCTACCAACATCGTGAGCGGCACTCCGTTCCAACTTATCTGGTGCAAAATGGGCTTTACGTGCGCGCTGTCCGTCACTTGATGCGCAGTCAGCGTGTATAAAGCTTCGCAGTCCTCCGAATTCTCTTGTGGGTCTTGCAAAAGGGCGTTCGCTTGTTGCCTCTGATTAGTGTCTTCGTCCGACGCTCTACACACTCGTGCCAAGTGGCCGCGTTTCCGGCATCGATGGCACACTGTTCGGAGATGACGACAATCATCCGCTTGGTGCGAAGCTGCACCACAGCGGGTGCGAGGCCGATGCTCATCGCGAGATAGCCCACTTGCTTTCTTCGACTGCGAACGTGAGAGGCCCGGCCGGACAAAATTCATTGTGTCGGCTACCGGGGAGGGCAGTGGCTGCATGTACTGCGCGTTTTCCGCAGCGGCCTCAGCAGCCATTACGAAGTCTTCTGCTTCCTTCAAAGTCAGGGAACCGCGAGTCAACAACAGACGTCTTACGTCGTCGTCTCGAACACCACATACAATGCGTCGTCTCGAACACCCGCAGCATGCGGTGCAACATGTCGCCGAAATTGCATTCTTCGGTCATGCGGTGAAGGGCGGCTACAAAATCCCGCACTCGCTCACCTTCTGCCTGTGTGCGCGTGAAGAATCGGTAGCTGGCTGCTGTTTCGTTGACCTGCGGCTCATAGTGGCTCTGCAGATGCTTGATGACATCGCTGTAGGTGAGGTCGTTCACGCTTTTGGGGTGGCATCGTCCCTGAAGTACTTTGACGGCGCCATTGGACAGAGCCGCCACCAGCAGGGCTCGTTGTTTTGCCTCGTCTGTGATTTCCTGTGCTTGAAAGTATGCTTCCAAGCGTACCTTGTAGGCGGACCAGCCTCCTTCTTCTTCGTGAGTGCAGGCGCCTGTCCCGGCGCCATCGCTGCCTGTTTCAGCAGCCGCGCTTCAAAGCCTCCTCCCACCACGTCGATTCCATCCTCGTCGCCACTGTTACGTCGCGAGTGAACGGCTGTGCAGCATGGCTGTGAGTGAAGACATGGCTGTCAGTGAAAGTGGAAGTGAAGCATGGAAGTGAAGCATGGAAGTGAAGCACTGGAAGTGAAGCATAGCTGTCAGTGAAGACACCTCACCGGCTGTGCAGCAAATTCAGGGCAATTCAGAAGCTCTCGCACGCAATCCTGATCTGCAGAGCAGCACAGAATACCCCCTCAGCCGAACTGGCGGACCTCAGTAATCTTCTGGAAAAGCGGCGAGGCTTTCTGAAGCTCCACTTCTATCACCTTCGGATCAGCGGAAAGATGATGATGATTTTTGATACTCTGGCGCACACCCACAAAGGGGGATAGGCCAAGAACCGGGCGGCAGGATCTTAACTAAAAGGCTGATGGTTTTTCAAACAAAACGTAATTTTGGGCTGAAAAAACATATAGAAAGAAAAGCCGAAAATAGAAAAAGGAGGATATCTGAGCAGGGAGCGATGCAGACTATCAGATGCGATTTGAGACAGAGGTAATGGTGGGTCTAAAATTATATATATATATATATGCATATATATATATATATATATATAATGCCACCATTGATAAACGAGCCACAGTGGCTCATACGCGTTTTTTGGGCGCGAAGAAGAAGAGAACATCTTCGTTGCTCTGGTTCAAGTGAACTCCTGGCTGCGGGTCTTGTTTTGTTCGTGACATTACTGGTGGAGACGCTGGGTACGTGTACTTCGGCTGTGTCGGCCATCGTGGAGACAGCTACATCTCCCAGAGCAAGAATCAGCCGCCGCCTGCGTGGGTTACCCCCTGAATTTGGTCCCTTGGCATCGACACCCAGAAAGATGGCAACTGCGATGACAAGCCAGGCGGTCCAAACCAGCGATGGCCATGATTCGCTTCTCGCCCATGTTCTCCACGTGCCACAGACACCAAAGCCGTTCCATGGAGACATCTTCGAGGATGTTGATGACTGGCTAGACCACTTTGAACGGGTTGCCAATATCAACGAATGGGACGATGTTCGCAAGCTGCGCCGAGTTTATTTCTACTTGGAGGATTCTGCGAAGACGTGGTACGAGAACCACGAGGGCTCCTTTGCAACATGGCAAGAGTTCAGCCGACAGCTTCGTGACGCCTATCGCAACACCGAAAGGAAGGAGAGGGCCGAACAAGCCATATCCAGCAGAAACCAACGGCCGAACGAACGTGTATCCATGTTTGTCGAGGACATGCTTCGACTCTTCAAGCGCGCGGACCCTGCCATGCCTGAGGAAAAGAAGGTGCGCCATTTAATGCGCGGAGTAAAAGAACAGCTTTTCGCTGGGCTCGTGCGCAATCCACCGACGACAGTCGCCCAGTTCATCAGTGAGGCGGCTACGATGGAACGTACGCTGCAGCAGCGGTCGTCACAATACGAACGCCAGATCCCGGCCACCACATGCTCTATCGGCTCTGACAGCGAGAGACAGACCCTCGCAGACTTCATTCGAAGTATCGTTCGGGACGAATTGCGACAGCTGCAGGCAGTGGGATCCCATCCACCCGTGTCAGCCCTCGCGGATGTAATCCGACAAGAAGTCCGGCAGGCCGTCACACCCCTAGCCCCAATCGCACCGCCGATTCCCGA